ATTTTGTCAGTATTTATTAATAACACAGTGTATCAATGATCGCAGCAGGGTGACATATGACCCCAAGCATGACGCACCTGAAGGTGAAAAGTTGCACCACGAAATCAAGATTGTCTCACAATAATCAACACAGCCAGTCAGACCCAGTCACTGAACCAGCAAAGAACACCTTATACATTTATTGGGAGAAAAACAAACTATTTCATTGATCAGAGATGTTTGTGTAGAGACTTGTGGAGTTTCACTTCTTGAGATTTTCAGCACCTAAGTAAAGTTTGCACATTCATTATTTAATATTGTGTGATAACTGGCTATGCTGAATTAAAAGGGGGAAGAAATGTGCCAAAAAGAGATGTATTGTGATTTCAGTCTAAGTTTAATGGCTGTCTTTAGCTCTGTTCATGTGGGGTTTGTTTTACATTTTTAATAATTCCACTTTATAGTCCAAGTTTGTGAAAATGTCTGTGAAAGTTTCTCTGATTTTTACCAACTATGTTTCAGCAAATTCACATGCCCTTAGGTGAAACTAGGCCTGTACGAATACTAATTTCAAGAGGTAAATAAAGTGATATACTTCTTCTGTGAGTTCATACTTTGCTCTGATTGGTTGGATTCAGCTGTCCATCACTCAGAGCATGACAAAGGTTAAAGGGACAGTCTCGGATTTTGAACAAAGGACTTCATTTCCTAGTGAGCCAGTGTGTTGGAGACGTGTGGAGACACTTTTTTAAATATTCCATCCAGTTCTTGTATTTGCAGAGGTCACTGGTGCTAGGCTAGTGCATGTCAATGGCCATAGTTATCCTGCCACTAAAAACAGTCTTACCCACTCCACAAAACACCTGAAGCAAATCTATTATTACACCAGACTGTCCCTATAAATGTCTGTGTCGATAAAATAATTTTAGAAGTAAAACCAACCTTGCTTTTAAAGGATTTATGTCCGAGCAGCAGTAGCGAGTTGTACTTTCTGATAGAAAGCTTGGCAGCAGCGGACTGATATTGCCTAGCACCAGTGTTGTATCTGAACATTATTATTGTGGGCGAACATGAACTGAACGCACTGTATGAACGAACTGTGAACGCGTTCATTCTGGTGTCTGTGAACGGCATGCACTTCTATTTAAACTTTGTTCAATAGGGTGCCAGATTTTTTTAGAGTTCCAGGTGAAAACCTGACTAAACACAATGTAAAGAGCCTTTACTATTTAGCGAAAAAACATTCAATCTTGCAACAACACTAGCCACCACTGTTGCATCACCACAGGCGCCATCAAAACAATACGAAACATTTGGCTCTTCTGCGCATGTCTCCTGTAGACAGAACCTATGACCTGAATGTACATGGACCAGTTTGAGCTCATCATATTGGACAATACACTTTTGAAGAAAAAAACAATGGGACACCGGACAAAGGATACACTCTGCTTTAACTTCTTGGGTTCTTTTTAAGACAATACAGTAAAGAGTATTTACCTTGTGGACATGTTTCAGCTGCTAGCTGCAAACCATCTTCAGCTGATATACAGCTGATATACAACACGTCACCACCAACACCAGGGACAGTTCTGAAGATCGTTTGCAGCAGCAGCTAAAACATCTCAACAAGATAAATACACTTTACTGTAATGTCTTAAAAAGAACCCAAGAAGTTAAAGTATATAAGAAGACAAAATGAACATCTTTGTCTTGATACACTCTGCTTCCGTCCTCTGGAGAAAGTAAGAGGCTTGTTTTTGTTAGTTTGGGGCAAATCTGAGGGTGGAGCCTCACAGGTAAATAGTGCATAAATGACCTTGTGGGTGCGATGGAGCTGCTCCGGTTGTTCTGCCGTGTGCTGTAGGAGCGGCTCTGAGGCCGTGTGTTTGTGTTTTCACCGTAGTCTCTTACTGTAGTTTTGCTGACGTTGTTATGAGTGGTGGATCAGGTTGTGCTGCTGCGTAAACTTGGCTGTGCGTTGTATTCTGATAGATACAGTTCATCCAATAGTGACCAAAATGACTGTCTGTTTCGGGCATTTGTTATATAAATGAATTTATGAATATATGTATTATATAGCCTATATATAATCCATATATTCATAATATATATTTATGATTTTGGCCTAGTAGCTCGCAGCAATGTATTGAAAAAAAAAAAAAATACTGAAATAGTTCATTTTTGGAACTATGAATGAATTATAAACTATTTATACTGACAGTCTGGTGTAATAATAGATTTGCTTTGGGTGTTTTGTGGAGTGGGTAAGACAGTGTCAGGCTAACTATGGCCATTGACATGCACTAGCCTAGCATCAGTGACCTCTGCAAATACAAGGACTGTCCACACTTCTCCAACACTCTGGCTAACTAGGAAATGAAGTGCTATGTCCAAAATTCTGGACTGTCCCCAGAAATGCACTGACCTCAGTCTCTACTACACACATAACATAAGGATCAGACTGATGGTGCATACAATGGACAACATAAAAACTATTCATACCTTTGAGCTTGGTCGTGGAGTCATAGTTTAAAGCACCGATTTTAAACCAGTGTGCAAGGGAACAGTAGTGAGCCTTGGGGAAAAAAAATCCAAACTCAGTTACAAGTACATTCACACACACGTCATTGTATAAGCTACCATTTACGAGTGTCCTAAACTATCTTTGAACGGGTTGAGATTCAGAAAGAGATTACAAATAATTAAAAAAAAATTAAATTAAATTTGTAATCTCTTTCTGAAAAAAAATTAAAAAAATATAATTTGCTGTGCTATGGAATCGTTTTAACCACATATTGATACTTTGCAGTGACATCAGGCTGGGGGGTTCTACATGTCTATGAAGGAATGTTCAGCAGTTACCATGGTGACACAATGCATACATTAGTAAACACTGCCAAACAAGTTTTTAGATTGTCTGAAAACACAAAATGGATTTAAACACACATTTTCGTCACAGTTTGCTTGCTATAAAACTGTATAAAGACTGTAATGTTATTTGAGAGGGACTTGTTTAACAGCACAAATCAGAACAGCTGTTGTAATAAAGTCTCAGACAGAGCAGTGCCTACTGTTAGCATCACACCCCCAGGGAATGTTAATGACATCATCTGCAAAGTATGACAGTTTCTAGCTCCATTTCATGTCTGTCTAATAAAAACTTTGGGCCTGAAAATCTTAAAAAATCCAATGATCATTATGTCATTGAAAAAAAAAAAAAAACACAGGTCAAGCTGATGCCACATAATCATATAAAACAGACACATTACAATTCAAGCACTGAAGTCGCCAAATGTTTTGTATGAAATTATTTTGAGCCATGACAGCCGGCAGGAAACTTCAAAACTGTACAAAGCATTTTAAAACGCTGGAGAAGATGTGAATATGTTGGTAGCACTTTATAATGACTACACCTTAACTAGCCTTCATTAAGTCTGAACAAAGACTTCATCCATGTCAAATAACTTATTAAGAACGATTCAGTCTTAGTAACTACTTCACTTGACTCTCACTTCAAACTCAATCTGTGTCTGAAGCCTTTGGAGCACACACAAATGTCTGTATCTTCTTTGTGAAGCTGAGGCTCTGGAGTTTTGGCCTCTGTCTGATCTACTCTCATTTTTAGAGTCTGATTTATAAGAGTCTGATCTACTCATTTTAAGTGGGAACAAGAGGAACAGCACATTTCAAACTGTGCCTGAATTCTTTGAAAAAATAAGTATAAATATAAGAATAGGTATAGCTGCTGTCCTTGGGGATGATCTGAGAGACAGGCTGAGCGTTTGGTGGCTCTTTTCTTGACAATTTCCATGAGCATACCTCTTGTAATTAAGCAAAAAAAAAAAAAAAAGGTCCAGGCTGATTTAATATAAAAGTCTGGTCCATATTCTTCTCAGAATGGATGGTTTGACTGAAAATAAGTGGGTTACAGAATTTCCATGTTTGACTGAAAAGTCCATGAGAGGTTACATTCAGTTCCATGAGACTTTTCAGAGAATTCTGAGAATTAATTCAGAAAAAGTACAGGGCCCACGCACAGTCCCTGGGAATGGTAAAGGGTTTAATTAGTTCATTTAGCAGTTACAAATGATGAGTCAATCTTAAAGATCCACTATGTAACGCTTTAGATGGAGGGTCTGCTCTCTTTATTTAAAATGTTATTCTTTTGCCTGGAATATTCCACAGTGTGACATTTAACATACACGTCTCTCTGGAGACAAGAATGTGGCATGATCAGGCCAAGATCAGTGGAGAGGCGAGCCCGCTTACGGCAAGAATGCATATTTATAAGGATTTTCCCCCTGAATAAAATACCTGCAATTGAATATATGTAAGATAGGTTTAATGCCATATTCTGTAACATTCAAGGCAATAATACAATGGAAACAAAAAAAGTCCCCTCCAGAAAAAGTACATAGTGTACCTTTAAAGGTCTTATATTATGCAAACTGACTCTAGTGAACTTTCAGCCACGTTATACTGTTTTTATCTCATTAAAAACATACATGGAGTTAGTTGTGTTTGGTTTCATTCACACATATGTGAGTAACACTTTATTATTAGCTCAAAATGCTCTGTTCCACATTGTGATGTCATGGTAGTTTTTAGCAAACTTTCAGTTACCAACTACATTTTACCTTTAGATCAGTAGAGAGTAGCAATTCCAGGGTTGAAATCATCCCAATTATTCTGGTGAAGGTATAGTGAAGGTGTATGGAGTTTAAAAACCCAGTGGAGTACCTGTTTTGCCACATGACGTCACAATGTGGAGCAGAGTGTTTCACTCAGCCTAAATATGCAGGATTTGTGTTGAACAATGAAACAAAACACAACTCCAGGTCTGTTTTTGATGTCGGTAACAACATCATAACAGAGAGCAGAGAAAAGCACAATATAGGGCCTTTAATAAACTATTTGTTCATTGTCACTTCAGTCTTAGTTCATACTTTATTAATAAGTGTGAAAGTATAAAGTGTTACTCATGTGTCTTAAAGTCCACAGTCTTTTCCTCCCCTTGTTTGTCAGCACATTCTCTGTACGAGCATCAGTGTGAATGGCAGCAGCAGTATCCAGCTCTGGGACGGGGGGGTGCAGGAGGTGGAGGAGGACAGCAGGGGGCGCTTCTTCTGCCTGGGTCCATTACACAGGGGCGTGTTACAGCAGGTGATGCACACAGAGTGGAGTTTACCCGTACAGAACTGCTGGTATCCTGAAGACGCAATGAGACACGCTCCAGACGATGCACACGATTTACGGTAATGAGTTCCTGCAAAAAGAAACAAAAAAAGAGATGATGAATATACACTGAAATAATATGAGATGTTTAAATAGCTCATATTATGCTATTTATTTATTTAGTCATTTTCTGATCTATGTTATAATGTTGTTTCCTCATCACAAACAGACCTGGAGTTGTGCTTTGTTTCATTCACACATGTGTAACACACAAATGCGGCTCTATTTTTATTTTTTTTTACAGAAAATTTTGATGTCATGTGTTCATACAGGAAGTGCTTTAAGTTAAATAACCCAACTAAATATTAGTTTTAAATATTTTATATCATATCCTCAAAGTATCCACCCCTAGCTTTGTAGACCAGGGATCTCCAACCGTTTGCATCCAGTGAGCTACCTTTAGAAAATGAAAATGCCGGAGAGTTACCGTATTTTCCAGACTATAGGGAGCGCTCTTAAGCCTCTTACCTCATCAAAAAACCACTGCGCGCCCCACAATCCAGAGCGCCCTATAATCCACTCTGGTGTCCCAGCATGACTTCAGTAAACTACAAAGCTGCACCACCTGTAGTGCACGCAAACACGCACTGAGCAGACAGCGACCGCACAGAGAAAAACACCCACAGACACACTCATCACTCCACGTGGATGAGGAACAGAACGGAGGAATGAACCGAAAAAGCGAGTGCAATGTGCCACTTCTAGACACAACTGAACAACTGAGTCACTGCAAACACGCCAACAATCCAGCGGTCCCAGACAGCACCCTCCCTACACACTACAATTGGGCAAAGCTGAGAGTCACCGTGAACGCCACAAACAAAGTCCCACTGGCCCATCCAACTGTTGTGTTTCGTTTAAAGTCTGGTGCGGTTTATTTGTGAATAAAGTTCGAAAACTGACCATTCTATGACAGTGCGCCTTATAATCCAGAGTGTCTAATAGTACGAAAAATAAGGTACTCATTTTAGTGATCGCAATAGTAGATATAAGGGGCAAGCCTTAGATATTATACAGTGAGATGCCTTTAAAACATAAAACTATTATCAGTTTCTTAGTGTGCAAAGTTCAAAATAACAAATTTACTGTGGTAATTAATCAAATTTGAGTTAATCATATAATACGTAATTCAGAAATCCTTTGGTGAGCTACTTATAACAGGGTTGGAGGCCTCTGTTGTAGACAATGTTGCAAAGCCTTGATCTTCTCTCAGTGAGTTTCATGATGAAGTCTCCTGAAATGGTTTTCACTTCACATGTCTGAGTCAAAAGCAGTGATAAAAACAAAAGGTGGCTTAAAAAAAAAAAAAAAAAAAAAAAAAATCTAAAACCATTTTGGAGTTATTTTGAGTTTATTTTTGTATCCATTCCAAACATGTTCATTCATAATTCTGATGCCTTCAGTGAGAATCTACAATGTAAATACTCATGGAAATAAAGAAGAAACTTTGATGAAAAATAAACTTTGGCCTGGTAGTGTAAGTCTATCCATCATTCTCCACAAACACATTTCCATACTCTGTCATCTGCTATGGGCTGAATAAATGAGAGTTTCATTACAATTTGAGCTCAAGGGCGTTTTCTCCCGTTTATGGACTCATTTTACGTCCTCCTCTGGTCCGCATTTTGAGTTAATTTGAGGGGAACTTTTTAGCAGGATTTATTGTAATGAGATGTACACAGCTGAATGCACAGGGCAAAGCAATGAGTTCAAGTAGTAAAAAGAAAAGCGTTGATTGCAGCTAGAGCCTAATGAGAAGGTTGTCTGACCCATAAATCAAACCATCACAAAACAGGGGGCTTAACATCAGCTGTAACATGACACATTGGAATTATTATGTAATTAGACTATTAAGACTAAAGCTATCACTACTACTATTACTACTACTACTACTACGACTACTACTACTACTACTACCACTAATCATTTACCCATGCACACAATATTATTAGACTATTACTATGACTACTACTATCATTACAGTACTGCTATGATTACTTCTCGGGTAGTGGTGATATCGCTGCTTATGCTACTACTACTACTACTACTACTACTACCACAACTGCTACTACTACTATTACCACTAATCATTTACCCATGCACACAATATTATTAGACTATTACTATGACTACTACTATCATTACAGTACTGCTATGATTACTTCTAGGGCAGTGGTGATATCGCTGCTTATGCTACTACTACTACTACTACTACTACTACTACCACAACTGCTACTACTACTATTACCACTAATCATTTACCCATGCACACAATATTATTAGACTATTACTATGACTACTACTATCATTACAGTACTGCTATGATTACTTCTCGGGTAGTGGTGATGCCGCTGCTTATGCTACTACTACTACTACTACCACTAATACTACTACTACTATTACCACTAATCATTTACCCATGCACACAATATTATTAGACTATTACTATGACTACTACTATCATTACAGTACTGCTATGATTACTTCTAGGGCAGTGGTGATATCACTGCTTATGCTACTACTACTACGACTACTACTACTACTACTACTACTACTACCACTAATCATTTACCTATGCACACACATACCTATGACTACTACTATCATTACAGTACTGCTATTACTTCTAGGGTAGTGGTGATGCCGCTGCTTATGCTACTACTACTACTACTACCACTACTACTACTAATACTGCTACTAGTTTTTCAGTAGTTAATGGGCATCTAAATAAAAACAAACAAAACAAACCACTATTATACTATCTTATATATATTGCTTTCTGGGCACTCAAAGTTACATTACTATATAGTAGGGATGTAACAATAACCGAAATATCGTGATATCGTATCGTCAAAAGTCTCACAATAATATCGTGGGCTGTCACAATATATCGAATCACAAGTTTCTTTGTGTAAATGCATGGTTTAATAGTAGCAACAGCTCATAAATATAAGGAACTACATATCCCATGATTCATTTCAGTGCAGACAACACACAGACCAGTGATCTCCAACCTTATGCTCCGGTGGGCTACCTTTAGAAAACGAAAATGCCAGAGAGCAACTCATTTTAGCAATTGCAAGAAATTTAGTGGATATAAGGGTATAAGCCTTAGATGTTGTACAGTAAGATGCCTTTAAAACATAAAACCATTATCTGTTTATTAGTGTGCAAAGTTCAAAATAACATATTTACAGTGGTAATAATCAATTTCGAGTTAATTAGTATAATACGTAATTCAGAAATCCTTTGGTGAGCTACTTATAACAGGATGGAGAGCTACCGGTTAGCTCCCGAGCTACAGGTTGGAGACTCTTGACATAGACTGTATAAAAGAAGTGGGCTAAGTGAGTGTGATGTCATCCATAGTGTTCAGCACCACTCAAATGAGGCTCATGATGCTAACAGTTACAGGAGCGAAACTGGAGTCAGGCTCTGTGGTTTTTTTTTGATGGACAAAAGAGCGAAAAAATAAAAAATAAAAAATCAGGATCATGTGTCACAGGATAATACGAACACTTTAAGACCAAAATGACGAGGCTCACTGCAGCAGTTACAGAGAGAGGAGCTACAAGACCCTAATGTAAGTCAATTGGAGCCAGGGTCAGAAGGAGACGGAAGAGCCTCCTGGAACTTTCTATCTGGCAAGCGGTGGCTAGAGTGTTGGCTATGTCCACTCAGATATAAGGTCTATGAGATTATGTCGGTAATAATTCACACCAAAATCTTGTCAAGGTATTTTTAAAGCAAAAAAGTGTACCATCACATAAGCCTCTTCAAAATATCGCAATAAGTATCGCAGCATGAGATGCATATCGTGATAATATCGTACCATGAGATTTGGATATCACTATATCTCTACTTTATAGTAATAGTCTGTATAGATAATTTGAGTTTTGACAGATTTGATTCATATTTGAAAATTGTAAGAGAATTTAAGTACCATATTTTTTGGACTATAAGTTGCAATTTTTTCATGGTTTGGGTGGTCCTATGACTTATACTCCAGTGCGACTTATATATTAAAATGTTCACACTGACAGCTGCGAGAGGGCGCTCTAGGCTTGTGTGTCAGTATCTGCTGCTCCTATTACTCCTGTATCACTGTCACTACTGCACATCTCCTGTAGAAATAGCCTCACTGCAAATAGTGAAATATGCAGCCGAAAACAATAATTGAGCAGCAGAAAGAAGGTTTGAAGTGAGCGAGAAACTTGTGAGGGACTGGCAGAAAGTAGGAATGGAAAACACAGCTTCATGGCAACTGGACGGGTGCGCCATGCAACTTTCACTAGTTGAATCAACAAAGCCTGAAATTCAATGACAACTGAAACCATCCTGTTGGGATTCAGACAGACTGGAATAATTGTAACTGGAACTGATGCTGAGTCTGACAACAGCTACGCAGAAGAGGAAGTGGCGCTCTGTTTACTTCATGAATCTATGGTTTATCTCCGGAGGTCGCGCAGAAGTGACACCAAGGATGAAGAATTTAATGGATTTACTGATTTGGAGTGAGATCGTGAGTTTGGTAAACTTATGTTATGTTGTTTATGCTATAACTGTTAATATGTCATGTTAACATAGTAACAGTTAACATATTCTGTTGTTATTACTATAACTTGCCTTTCAAGATGAAATGACGGTTTCTGGTCTCTGATTTTACAAAATACATTTCTGCAAAGACTGCGACTTATAATCCGGTGTGCTTTATAGTCTGGAAAATATGGCAATTTATCTTCCATGTACATCTCAGTTTAACATTGACTCACAAAAGCTATATTTACACCATGATCTTCCCTTGACCACTGAAATACCATTATCTAAAAGGCGGTGTATTGCTGTCTATCTGGTATCTACTGTCCTTCACCACTTGCTTTATAAACCTCCTCCTCTGGAAGCAGAGTAAAGAAGCTTGAACACTCAAAGAGCATACTATATTCACTTTTGAAATCATACTACGTTCACTGTTCAAGTCCCCCCGGGCCCATATTATTGATGGTAAATAAACTTCTCCTGCTTAAGACATCC